TCCGAAAATTGACAGAAAGATGGGAAAAAGTAGTGGCTAGCGATGGACAATACTTTGAATAATCCATTTGGAACCATTTTTGCTCAATACAGCCTCAACTTTCGAAAAAAAAAAACCTTTAAAACTAATTCTAACTCCTAATATATTGTTGTGGCTTGATTTTTAGCGCACAGCGGCAACGCAGCTTCCAGCGTTTTCGGGAGGCCTAGCTCGATACTTCGAGAACGAACGGCAATAGTCCATTGGGCTATGGAAATCCCGCAAAATGGAGAATCTTTGCGGGTCGTCGAGAGTCCTTGCGCGCTAATATAAATACGGCAAGGCGACCGGACTGAGTTAGTTAATCAGACAGCTTACAGGGAAATATTTAAAGCGATATTCAGTGTGTTCGATTCGCGCGCTATAGTTTTGAGTTAGTTAGTATTTGGTTGTTCAATAAATTGTTGTGATTTTTTTTATTGGTTTACTGGAATCATTCGAACCCCGGGAGTCGTAACAATATCTTGCAAATGCCCTGTGCTGTTAGGTTGAATCTGTAGAGAAGGTGCTACAGGTTATCTTCGAACTCTTTCTTCAAGACAGCAGCGTCTGCGAAACTGAATGTTCTCAGGCGGCGGTTGTTCGTCCTGAATTGAAAAAATCATCGACTTCGTTCACACTCATTTATTTGATCCATTATGATGTTAAAAAGGCATGGGCTAAGACTATCTCCCTGTCTAATGCCGGATGAGACTTTAAAGGCCCATTTATAAACTTGACGTTGCCTTTACCGGTGCCGTTTGCGGTGACGATTGCCGTTTGCGCTACAAAAGGCGATTTATAAACTTGCCGTTACCGTTTGCTGTCAGTCGAATTTTGAACCTAAAATCTTTCCTGTTATTGAATGTTTTGAATCAGCTGATTTGGGCCGACCAAATACTGAATTCGGATTGGTTGGTACGTACCACGGCTGTTCTACGAACGTTCACCGGCAAGAAATGAAATTGGTTCATATCGACTGGCGCAGAACGGAAACGGTACCGGCCATGGTGTTTATAAATGGATGTTGGGTATTCCAATACTTGATTTTCGACGCAAACGGTACCGGTGAATGCAAACGGCAACGGCAAGTTTATAAATGGGCTTTAAGTTCTCTTGTTTGACCACATTATGATGTGGTCTGACAAGAGAACTGAAAGTGATAGAAGTGATTACGCCGTCAAATGGGTGGTCTCGCAATTTTGTTCATATAAAGCCGCAGGTCCGGACGGGATATTTCCAAAAATGCTGCAGTCGGGCCTAGGTATCCTACTCCCGCTTCTGAGAAGGATCTTCCGGGCCAGCGTGGCAATCGGATATGTCTCCTACGATCGGCGGACAGCGGAGTTCGTCTTTATACCAAAACGTGGTAAAAAGGACTACTCCGAGCCCAAATCATTCAGACCCATAAGTTTAACGTCTTTTCTCATGAAGACGGAGGAAAAAATTATAGACATGTATCTGACAGAGGAAGTACTCATGAGGGCTCCACTGCACAGTAACCAGCACGCATACAGGAAAGGAAGGTCGATAGACACGGCTCTCCAAGCTCTGGTCCAAAAAGCTGAACAGGGATTACAAGATAAAGAAGTGACCTCTTTTTCGATGTGGCCAGGCCTTTTGATATGGCCAGAACAAGCAACATCTGCAATGCTCTCAAATCAAAAGGAGCTCCCGACTCATCACTGGGTCCGGAGTGCGATAGCTAGCCGCAGGGCCAGGGCCTGCCTGGTGGTAGACCGGTTGGATATCGCGGTCCGGGGGGGCTGTTCACAAGGCAGCTGCTTTCCCCCCCGATTGTAATGTCTGTTTGTGGAGGGGCTCCTACGGCGGCTAGACCAGGAGGGCTTCTACACGCAGGCCTATGCGGACGACGGCCTTGTTCTCGTTCAAGGAAAGTTCCTGGGCAGTTGCGCAAGTTGTCTGCGAGATAATGCAGTTGCGTGTAGGACAAAAGAGAGATGGTGCACTGATGCTGAATTATCAGTTAATCCCGGCAAAACGGAGACCAGACTTTTTGCAATTAAGGGACTATAGGGCCTCAACGCTGTACGGACGGCCTCTTACCCTTGCCGAGGAGGTCAAGTACGGAGGCGTGACCTTAGACAGTAAACTCACGTGGAATCTCCACGTAGAGAAAGTTATACAGAAGGCTACCACCGTCACTATGTGGCGTCTGCGCCGAAATCTGAAAAAAAAACCGGGCCTGAAACCACACGTTATGAAGTGGTTATACAGTGTCGTCATAAGACCGGAGATCTGTTAAGGCTCCTGTGGGTCTGGTGGCCTTCGTATCCCGGAAACTTGCGGGTCTGCAAAGACTGGCCTGTTTAGCGATGAGCGGAGCAATGAGGACGACATTGAATATCTTCCTAGGCTTCTCAGAATTGCCCCTGTAGATACGCAGGCAGGTCGCCGCGGGGCTAAAGTGGATGGAATGCGGCTCTACAAGGCGTGACACCTTCCCATGTCAGGGACACGAAATAATAGGGGCCGCCATGCGTCGTGATATTCCAATCCTAGGTGACACCTGACAGCAGACTTAGGATAGAAAGGAAGTTTAAGGTGGAAATGCCCGCAAAAGAAAGCTGGACTTATAGGACGGTGACTGCCCGAGAAGGGGTGCAATGTTGGTATACCGACGGCTCAAGGGCGCCCAGTACAGGATTGTCCGATGCGGGAGTCTACCGGCAAGACACCAATCGCGGAGCATCTATTTCGTTGGCAGGCTGGACGAGTCTTTCGGGCGGAATTATATGCAATCCTCGAAGTTGCCACAGACAAGGAGGTCATAGAAGGGCTAGAAGGAGAGATTGAGATCTACTCTGACAGCCAGGCGGCACTAAATGCACTTCTCAGTGTTATAATGGGCAGTAGACTGATCCAGGAGTGCTGGGATGCCCTGAATAAAGTAGCAGAACGGAAACAGGGAAACCTGGTGTAGATTTCGGTGCACATGAGTTTCGTGGCGAACGAGCAGGCCGACGCATTGGCCAGGCGCGGATCTTCTGCCCAATAAGTGCCGAACCTCACATAGGGCTAAATAACAGACAGGTAGCAAGCGCACTTAACGACTGGGCCCCTAAAGGTACCACAAAGTCGTGGAGAAAGGCGGAAGGGTGTAGACAAGCCAAAGAGTTGATTGGAATGCCAGGAGAGGCCAATGCAACGTCCAAATGGCTGATGTCATGGAGTCGCTGGGCCCTGAGAACTCTGATTGGGGTAATGACAGGCCACTGCGGTCTGAACAGACACATACACCTACTTGGAATCGGTGTTAGCCCCGTATGCCCACAATGTGGAACGGCAGAGGAAACATCGTATCAACTTCTAGGAGTATGCCACCACTGGGCGTTCATGAGAAGGCGCTTGCGTGGGGCCTCCACACTCTCCTGCAAGGAACTGTCTTCCCTAGAGTGAAGACTGATCCTCGCCTTCGCCAGGAAGACTGGACGCCTGGGTGGTGAATAGGAGGGGTAGTAAGGCGGGGCTGGATGGAGGGGGAGTGGCGAAAAGGGCCTTTAAGGCTAATTCTCGTCGCCCCATTCGGACCCTCCCCCCCCTACAGTACTAACACTATTACGACATTCTGTTCTGATCATTGTTTTATTGTTTATAAAAACAAGAATTTTGTCGGTATTATCCGATCAAACATGTGTACATTGCTCTATTGAATTAAATGGATTTCTCTATCAATTGGCGTAATATTGCGTCTATCGTTTGAGCGAAAGTCTGGCTGATCCTCGGATATTCCTACTTTATCTGCTAATAGTTTTTACGATTGTCATTATTTTTAAGATATTTTTTTGAAAATTGAGCATTTAGAAAAAATAGTAACTTTGCTAAAACTGAAAAATTCTGAAATTTTGAAGAAATTTTAAGAATATTATTGTTAACTGGCCTTTAAAATAAATCTAAAAGCAAGTAAAAAAGTTATCAACATTTTCCCAGCAACGAAACTGAGTTACTGCGCCGGTACGTTGGGTTGGCGCACCAAGCTATTTGCGTAGCACTGCTCCAACCCCTAAAAATTTATTGAGTTACTCAGGCCTAGCTCTATCGTTATCCTCAACAGTAGGTCTCTTTTTTGTCAAAACTGAAAGGGGGATTTCACCTTCAGAGTCATATTTATCAATCTCAGCAGCCATATTGTGAGTTTTGACTATGTCAGGCGTCCCAAGAAAATTTCTCAGCGAAATTTCAGCCAAATTATCAGCGCCATTGTCTGAATCCCCACCAAGAATTTCATTTAACGACTCTTGAGGCATTTGTTCTAAGTTCGCATATCTCCAAACAGACTTTCTTATAAGAAACATAGACAATCTGAAATAAACTGATTATTTTTAACTTTTTCTGTTCATAAAGTTAATGTTCATTAAGTTTATAAAGAAATGGTCCAAAGCAGTAAATTGTATTAATTTCTTTTATTAACACTTTTTTTAATCAACGTGGACTTACACCGCTTGCAAAGAAAACGACTCATCCCTATGAACGCTTCATTGAAAGCTAACATACCAACAAACGCTTTGTATAAAAATCCTCAATATTTAATACGAATGTCAATGATTGCAAGCAATTACAAGTACCCTCAGTTCCGCTTTCATGCGGAGATCGAATATTTTCCACCAGCAGTTTTATAAATTTCAAGTTACTAATGATCCAAATAACAACATATTCTTGTTCTGGCTCATTTTGCTTTGTAGCAGACACATTTGATATCGAAGGTACTACACATGTTGGATGTTTTTGCATTACATATATTCAAGACAGTGCAAATTTCGAGGTTCGCTAACCTCAGGCACCCCCAGGACCGGTTTCAAACCTATTTACTCTCTACAGGTGGGTTCAGCCTGAAATTAGCGACCGTGAACACATACCTGTCTTGTTCAGATGATACCGAAAAAATGCTTGTCTTTATTACATATGTTTTCAAACATCGATATTTCTAAAATGTGAAGTAGTAATATTTCAACTTGTTCTAGTTCTGAATTCGAATTGTGATGGAACCCGAACCGTTGGGCAAGCTTCCTGAGCCAGTGGTGCTAGTAGAGACCCTAAATCGTTGGGGCGACGCTCCTTCTGCGCAGCATGCCTCCGTCATTATCCCCAGTGGGGAAGTTCGAGGCCTACACGCTTCTCCCTTTCCCTGCGATGACTGTATTAATCAGAAGTTGATACTGTGGTAAGTGGCGAGTTTCTAATGTGAAAAAACCCCTAGTACTTATTTTATTACTATTCTAGGGACGGCGATATTTCAAGCCTCGAAGTGGATGCAATAGTTAACTCTACCAATGAATCGATGAACGACATTAATCCTGCAAGCGCCAGTATATTCAGAAGAGCTGGACCTCGACTGCGAGAAGAAATTAAAGCTGATGTTAAAGGTAAAACCAATTAAAAAATATGCTTTGCAAATTTTAACAAATGTGTTAGTTTGGTAAACATTTGTTAGCAAATTATCTTCCCTTTTTCACCATAAGGTTTTATCGGTTTTACAAGTGACGTACTTTTTAGTATGGTTGCACAATCCATAACCAAGACATGTGGTCCTTGTCTCAAAGTGCTGTGCTTTTAAATTGCTATTTAGAGTTAGTTGATCCAATAGCAATTGATGGTAATGTTTCAAACCGGTTCTTGAAGATTCACTTAGTCCAGCGCCTTTATCATTTTTTTATCCTTCCAACTAATATAGTTTCTCGAGGTCCTCAAAATATGCGTTTGTTTCAATGATGACCTGTTCATTGGACCCAAATCTCTTACCGGCCAGCCTTTTCTTCAGGTTTGGAAACAGGAAATAGTTGCAAGGGGCTAAATTTGGAGATAGGCTGGGTGGCGGAGCAGTTCGTAGAGGAGCCGATCTGTTTGTACGTATCTACCGATACTCTTGCAAATTGGACCGAACCAAACCAACAAGATCACTGCGACTAAAAGGATCACTAACTGGCAGACTTTCCAGAGCATAATGGAAAGCTCCAGCAGGATCCCTCAGCCCACAACAGAGGACGACTTGGACCAGGCAGCAGAAAGTATCACCAGGGAAATTAAAAATGCCCTGGCAGCCTCAACAAATCAAACCGTCGTACCGTCCAACCAAATAGACCAAACACCTCCCTGGTTAAAAGCCAAAATCAGGGAGAAAAACCGGACGCATAGCCATGCGTACGCAAGACCCGTATTTAAAAAGGCAAGTCAACCGCCTCCAGACTGCGATCCAGGAAGACATGAAGGAACTCAGGTCGCAGATCTGGGATACTACCATGGACGAAATTGAGGCTGAAGAGAACAACCAATCGATCTGGAAACTGGCCAGGAACCTCACCAAAGGACCAAGGAGACTAATGCCACCAATCCAAGAAAACGGAATTACCACTGCGGACCCCAAAGAGAAAGTGGACCTCTTTGCAAATCATCTAGAGCTCCAGTACAGAGTAAACCTGGTTGATCACCCAAAGAAACAAGAGGCAGTGGATAAAATAGTAGCCGCCCACTTCCAAAGCTGGCAGACCATCAAAGCCAAAAGAGTGACAAATGAGATCATCCAGGGGACGAAGAGGAGAAAAGCCCCTGGACATGACGAAATCTCAAATGAGGTCCTCAAAAAGCTACCGAAAACAGCAATTGAGGACTTAACCATAGTGGCAAATGCAATCTTGGACCTCCAATACTTCCCGAACATCTGGAAAAAGTCAATTGTGGTATTGGTTCCGAAGAAAGGCTCAGAAAGAAAACTGCTCACGTCCTACAGGCCCATCAGCTTATTACCAATGATGGGCAAAATTATGGAGA